GCTATAAAATGCTTGCAGTTCACCTTTTATAAGGAGAAAGAAAGAATGTATAAGAAGTAAATCATTTACAACAAAAAGTGAAAGAGAATTTTGGAAATTTTATTGGGTTTTTCATCATTGTCTCCAATTCCCAGTAGTTATATTTGCATATGCCAACAAGAAATATCCAAAACCCAAAAAGAACCAATTTTTTTACTTTTCTAAGCATGATTAATAGAGTCAGAATATGTGTGGTAATTTGCAGACTGGAGTTACTAGCCCTTTACACAAGTTGCTCACTTAAACTTCTCTGGAAAAGAGATTTCGTAAAGGAATTCTGATGGAAACAGGAGTACCAGAGTGGATACAATTTTTAAATTCTTTGTAATAAAAATATGATGTGCCAACCTAGATAGCAGTGAGATATCGGCAGAGGATTTAGCAATGCAGAATTCTGGTGAAGAAGTGTGATTGTTAACTTTGCTTTGTTTGACCTCTCTAAAATTGCTTTAGAGGGGAAGGGTCATCTTTGCTTGCTTTGAAACTAAAACTACGACTTTTTTTTTAGCACTTTCACAGCATGAAATGTGTTAACTGTTAAAATGGATTTTGTGTAACAGTTCTGCATCCCAGTTTGAAACCAGACTGTGGCATATATTTGACCATTTTGTACGTTTTGGTTTTTTTTAAAATCTCTAAAAGAAAAATTACTTCTTTTGGTTTTTAACTGTGGAATTGAAAACTAAAATGTGTTAGGCTGCCATCCTTCAATTGAGAATGGTCACAAGCTGCCCCAACTCCTCAAACAGAGCATAAGGGCAAAATACATACAAATCAAATGCTTAGTGGATGCTGACTTCCCAGTAGCATATTGACTGCCTGTTTTGTTGAGATTTCACACACATACATAAAAATAACAGCATTTTTAGCTGATCCCAATAGATTTTTCTCTGCAGCTGCATCACTTGTAAAAGGCTTTTTGTTCCAATTCTTGAAGTCTGAAGTATTGCAAGTAATTTTTTTTTAAAATCTCAATTATGATTTATGTGTTGTGATGACTTTAAGGGCTTGATTGGGCTACAAATGTGCTTTGAAAAAACAAGAAAATATGCCCATGAAAAACACCGGCAGTTCAAAGCTGAATATTGAGCATACAGTTGTAAACTCACATGGCACATGGCTGGGTAGGTTTTTTTGGCAGACCCAGAGTCTCAACCTGCAGTGATGCTAAAGATATTAGCAAATTAGCACTGCAAAGCTTGCCAGCGTATTCGCTAGAGTCCTGCTCATGCTCTCACTGCTGTAATTAAAACTAATTATTTTCTAAAACATAGTAATACATGAATATGTGCAATAATCATTTTGTAGTGGGCAATCTGTGAAGTATTTTTAAAGCTTCTTTTCCCCCTCCTCTCTTTGGCTCGCTGTGCAGTGTGCCTGCTGCCTAGTGCAAGCCAGCACTGTCATTTTGCGAGAGGCTGGTAATGACAATGATGCCTTACCAATTCTTAACAGTTTTAGGTTTGGGATATGTATTTTTCCCTTTTTATTGTCTTGTAGGTTATTCTATCCTATGTTTTTCTTATCTCATATCTTTCTTTGCAAGAAGGGCATGAGGGGGAGTAAAAAAAGAAAGAAAGGGAAGGTAATCCAGTCTTCCGCAAATGCTGTGCACATGGTTTTCAGCAGGGAAAGAATCACCTGGTGTCTTGCTGCTGTTCCCTGGTTATTTGCGTTGATTCAGTGTCATGGCATCTCCTAGCATCTGCTCTGCCCAGTATTTTCTGTCTATTTATCTGAATGTTTCTTCTTGCATCTTTCTGGAAATTCAGGAACCCAGCAGCTCTGCAGCAATAATACAATACTTAGCACTTGCATCTTCAAATAAAAAAATCCCCTTAAACTCCACACACCCCCAGGAAGCAACTGCATGCCATTATCAGAGAAAGACATTTGTGTGTTCGTTGTAGTCCCACCTCATTTTGGCAGGAGGAGAAGAAGCTGAGTGCTGGTTCTCCAACAGAGCCGGATTTACAGCTTGTAATTCTGTAGTTAAGGTTCACAGTGGCTAAGCCATTCATAGTGAAGTCGGTAGGGGCAGGAATTATCTGCTGGACACCAATCTTAGTACAGACATAATTGGGAAATTCAGCCTTTTTCTCAGATTCAACATGGCTAGCAAAATGTGCATGGTTTTCATTTACCTTTGTCTACCGCTAAAGAGCAAGTGCAGTAGTTGTTAAAATAGACTGTTATTCTGTTAAAATGTTGTGATCAAATGCAGAGACAGTTGAAGAGCACCAGCAGCAGGTGGAATGAGTTTTACTCTGTAAAGTGGTGGTGGTTGTTGCATGGCGCTTGTATTCTCTCCTTGTTCGTTCTCTTTTATTTCCTCACTTCAGCCGAAGAGGTTTCCAGGTTTCCGGAATAACAGGACAGAGGTGGGAAAACCTCTCCTTCACATGTCACCACAATCTTGCAGCAGGAAATGTGGCTTTTTCTACAAAACCGAACGTAGTCATGCTTAACTGTTTCTCCTGTTTTCGATTAGCACCTATGGGTCTTGCAGATATGATGACACCTGGTGAGTCCAAACTACCCCTTCCTCTCAAAGCAGATGGCAAAGAAGAAGGAGCCCCCCAGCCCGAGAGCAAGTCAAAGGTATTTACCCACCTCCGCATGTGGTGTTGGTTCCGCCCGCAGAAGTCTGCTGTGTTGTCCTTCATCTTCTGGTTTTGGCCTACCCACTTCTGTTCTTTCCTGCATGCCTCTCCATTCACGTGCAATCTCTTTGTTTGTTTCTTTTTGGTTTTTGTTTTTTTTTCCTTCACTGTGTGGATCTGAAAGTTACTAGTTCTTACGGCATTTTAACTTGCGGGGGCAAAGCATCCCAAGCCAAAAGTTGCGTGGGGATTCGGCTGTGCCAGGTGGGTGGGAAAGAAGGGTCTTGCCTGGTTTCAATCCTTGCAGCCATTTTCCTCTGCCTTCAGTTATAGCTTCCTGTTTTGGCCGCCTCAGCAGCAGCAACATACTTTAATATTTTGCTTTCCTGCCTTATTTGATAAAATAAGGTGAACAGCTTGTTTTTTTTCTTTCTTTCATAATGGGAAACCCATGCTTAGCATTCCATGTGAGCTTGAAGTAAGCATGGTGGCTTAGTGACTTTAGCCAAGCATCCAGCAAACTTTCCAAATTAACAATGTTGTTTTAATACCTTT